CAGCTGGCATGGAGTGATGTTTTGAGGGTTATCAGTCAAAATCGCATCACACTTTTTTTGTGTGTGTTTGTGTGTTTTTGCATGCCGGAGGTTTCAGTTCAGCTTTATGTCAGTAATGTGAGGACGCTTTGTGACCTTAATAAACCATGAATGCTTCTCTGGCTTCAGACATGTGATGTTTTTTAAGGCAAGGCAGTTCAGGCCAATAAAAAAATATAAATACAGTTTAAGTCTGAAGTATTAGCCCCCCTGAATTATTCACCCCCGTTTATTTTTTCCCCAGTTTTCTGTTTAAAGGAGAGAAGATTTTTTCCAACACAATTCTAAACATAATAATTTTAATAACTCATTTCTAATAACTGATTTATTTTCTCTTTGTCATAATGACAGTAAATAATATTTGACTAGATATTTTTTCAAGACACTTCAATACAGCGTAAAGTAAAATTTAAAGGGCTAATTAGGTTAACTATACAGGTTAGGGTAAAGCAAGTTTTTGTAAAACCATGGTTTGTTCTGTAGGCTAAAAGTTAAATAGTAATAATTAAATAATAATTTAATAATTTTGTCCTTAAAATGTTTTTTAAAAAATTAAAAACTCCTTTTATTCTAGTCGAAATGAAACAAATAAGACTTTTTTTCCAGAAGAAACAATATTATCAGACATACTGTGAAATTTTCCTTGCTCTGGTAAACATTATTTGGGAAATAATTAAAAGACAAAAAAAAAAAAAATTCAAAAGGGCTAATAATTCTGACTTCAACTGTATTTAAAATGCTTGTAAACTAGTGTTTTACAACTTAGTTTTATTTTAAGAATAAAACAAAATCATCACATTTTCTCAGTATCTTGCAGCCCTACAAAATACTGCAAAGTGTCAGGAAAAACTTTTTTTTTTTTAAATAAAATTTTCTATAAAAACCTTCAGAATGCACAATGAATACAACTGATGTTTGGTATGTAAATACGGGAATTTCTAAATATTTATGAAGTAGGTTTTTTTATTGCAATAATCGCAAAGCAATTACAATGTATAAAAAATTGACAAAAATATAGTACAAACCATACAGAGATTACATTTTTAAATATGTTGTAAAATAAATTACATTTAAAAATGCAATAAAAAGAAAAAAAAACAAGAAGAAAAAACATGAAAGGGGACATAAAAAAGGAATGCAGAACAGAATATTAAACAAAAGCGCACATTTTTGAAAATTTTAACTGCTTTTTTTATTGCTGGATGTTGAAGTTGTATTTCCGTTTCTTTTAAAAATCATAAAATGGGGTTCACATTTAGTATATTTACATGTAAATATAATGCAAATAAATGCATTATAAATCTCTCATAAATGCAAAAATCTTAAATAAAATAAAATCAATCATGTTTGTTCTACAGAGAGCCAACCTTTTAATTAGCATTGTAGAAATTCTGTGAATTAAACTGCACAACCCAAAAGAAACAAAGTATGTTGTCTACTTTTTTGGTCACATCCATACCGCATTTTATTTTTCTCGTTTAAATATAAAAAAAATGTTTACAGCCTGATGATTTTCTGAACTTGTAACTCTGTGGTTAGTTGTTCTGGAAAATAGAAACAAATGTTTTAATATAATGTTAGCACATTTGTGAATTTTTGTTTAAGCTTTTACTGCAAATGTCACATCCATGCTGGAATTGCTCGAGTGCAGCTAAAGAAACACTTAAATGTGTATTTTGGTTGTTTTCTATTCATCAAACTGAAGAAGAAAATAAAGTCAAAATCTCATCATTCAGGTTCTCGAGTAAACAGCCTTTTTGCCTGCAGTGTTCTCCTTAAAGCTTATTTTCATGTACGCTAGGGAAAGAACGTCTGATGTCCCGCTTGGCGTCTGCTGTCCCGTTTGGCGTCTGCTGTCCTGAACAATCCTCTCCAATGACCCCACGCCGAACTCTGTCAAACTTCAGCTCATTTCCTCAAGCACTCGCAGCTGCTGCTGACTTTACTCCCATTTTTCCTGCTTCTACAGCTCCACCTTGAGGCCTTGGACTTGTTTTTTTCAGCTGTGCTCAGTTTTGAGTCTCCTCACAAATGACATTTTCTTAACTCCCAGCCTGTCAGTGCTAGCTTGTAATGTAATTTAATTCATCCACTTATGGTTTCAGTTTTCAACAGTGTTTATGGGTCAAAGACGACAAGACGTCCGACTTTGGCATACTCATCAAATCATATTTACAAATGCAATTTTTATGTACAATGTTAAGTGCAAGCAAAGTGTCTACTTTGATGCTTCAAGTAACTTTTGTGAAAATGAAATACAAAATTATGTTTCCCAGAGATGGGTTGTGGCTGGAAGGGCATCCGCTGCGTAAAAACTTGCTGGAAAAGTTGGCAATTCATTCCGCTGTGGCGACCCTGGATTAATAAAGGGACTAAACCAACGAGAAAATGAATGAATGAATGAATAAAATACCAAGATTACACTAAAAAAGTGGCATGTGCTGTCAGAATCTGCATTATATTGGTCCAGTGAATCAAGAAATGGTTGCCATATATTGTAAAACTTATCAAGATTATCAATAACTCAAACTCTTTCCATGTGCAATATTTAAGTGAGATAAGTTACCCATGTCTTAAATTGAGTATTATTATTATTATTATTAATATTATTATTATTATTACAGCTTAATTGTTTTATGTTCAATCCACTTAAATTTATAGAAATGAATATGTTAGGTTAATTCCTTCATGTTCTTCCAACACAAATAATTTTTTACAGGACTGATAATGTTCCTTCATCATTCATCATTTTGCCATGTGCTTATTACATAAGTGTAAGTGATCATACATAAATATCACATATATATATATATATATATATATATATATATATATATATGTGATATATGTGATATATATGCATCACATATAATATATATATATTTTTAAGACACTTCTATACAGCTTAATATGACATTTAAAGGCTTAACTAGGTTAATTAGGTTTACTAGGAAGGCTAGGGTAATTAGTCAAGTTATTGTATAATGATAGCTTGTTCTGTAGACTATCGATAAAATATATTGGGGGCATATAATATTGACCCTAAAATTGTTTTAAAAAAATTAAAAACTGCTTTTATTCTAGCCGAAAAAAAACACCCAAACAAATAAGACTTTCTCCAGAAGAAAAAATATTATCAGACATACTGTGAACATTAATGCAAAATGTTTTTCTTAGTTGTCTTGTTTTTAGTTCAAATATCAAAATTTTAAAGTAAAGACTTTATTTGACCCCACTGGCAGATATATTCTTAGCCTTTCAAGTTGGTAAACAAAACAATATATTTTTTATTGATTTAAGAATGTTTAGATATTCAGACTACAAATGAGACAAAGCAAAGTAAGAAAAGCCTTTTTTTGCACTGAGATCATTCCATTTCTGCACCTGAATACTGTTAGACTTCCCAGAAAGCTAGTTTGTCTTGTTAAACTGTATTCATATCACATTAATTGTTGCAGAAAAATAATTTATGGCAATATCAGATTTGTTCAAAATCATGCAGCCCTAATAAAAAAAATGTTGTTATATTTTAAATTATTACAAACTTTATATGGCATCAAATGATTACAAAGTTTGCAGTTTGTCTTGGCAACATTTTTTTTGCTATTCATTTATATACTATTAGCTTTTCACGTTTTGAATCTGCTTTTTTATACACTGCAAAAATTATAGGTTTCAACTACATTTAAGTTATACAAAGTTTAACTTCATATTTCTTGTCAGTTGTATTGCTGCAAGTTGAGATGACTATAGAAAACGTTTATTTGATTCAGCTAAAAATATATAGATTAGAGATGTTTTACAGTGTATTTTTAGGTAACGTTTTTTTCATAATTGTCATTAGGTAGAAAATTCGATCCACTTATTCTGTCATCAGATGGCATAATTATGTTTCATTTTAGTTTATTTCAGGATTTTTTTTCAATTACCAACAACCACGACAACAGCAACAAAATATTACTCAACGCAATGAGGAATATACCAGGACAAAAATGTTGGTTGTTGTTGGAAAGTAGCTCATTTTCAGTAGTAGATTGTTGTCACAGATTTAACACACTTCAGATATACTTAGATATTAGATATGTATTTTTTTTTAACCAATGTTTTGCATGAACAGTTGTAAGCAACATTAGGTTACTTGTGTGGGTTTGTGTGTGATGAGTACTTTTGACAAATTCATGTGTTTATTGAACAGTTGGCACAAAAGCAAACTGACAAGAATTTAAAAGTGATGTTTTGTTTGTTATTGTCAGAGTAATGCCAAAGTCACACTGGAGTTTATGCGTGTGAATTTCTGTAGTATGGCACTGCCAAAAGTAGTGGGATTAAACAAGATGATTAAACATTAAAAAAAAAAAAATGAGTGATTGGTCCATGTTTCAAAATATCTCTCCAGAGAGGTCATGTTTTGATCTTCGATTAATCTCACAATTATGTGATGTGGTTTCACAGGTCAGAGTTTACCAAGCTTGAACTTTCCAACACAGCAAACCTAAAATCTTGCCGCACAAGATTGCGTTTCAGGTCTGGGCATTTGCATGCTTATGAATGGAAGTCTATGAGGAGAAAAGTGCAGTGTGACCGCAGCTTAACTAAGAAACAAGTTGTAAAGCCTCCGCCCTCTCCTGGAAGGAGGGAGGGATCAGCAGCTCATTTGCATTTAAAGACCTGCACACATAAAGGGACATTTAAAGCAGATCATAAATGATCTGTAAGACATTTCGACATGAGATTTAGATCTTGTACAAAGATAATAATAGGACCAATTAAAATAATAGCAAATGTAAACAATAGTTAGTTTTCTAAAATGAGTTGACGTTCGTGGAAAGGAGGAAATAATACAATTTTAAATCACCCCGTCTGTAATGAATTACTTTAATTACCAATATTTGCTTATTAAATCTCTAGTCGTGAGCTAATGAAAAGCTTTCTAATATGTCCTCTTTCTTTCTCTCTCTCAGTTTCAGGTTTTGTAGAGCACTGGATTCAGACTGAATACAGGACGAGGACGCAGCAGAGCCGTCACCATGAGCATTTGACAAATACCTGGTAATTCAAATCTCTGTTCTCTGCGTGTTTGTTTGTTTCATTTAGCACTGTTGTTTCGCAGTCCTTCAGCAAATGAAATTGTTTGCTCTGCTATTTTGCTGTTTGTGTGTGTGATGAATTGGTAAATTAAAGCTATTAGGAGTAGTCTGCAGTTTGCCAGTGCCGTAAATACGAGTCAAATATACTCGTTGCAACACCTGTTCCTATGAAACACACACATGCACACACAAACACAGAGACATATACTAATGACTTCATTGCACCTGTTCACACTCAGGACACACAAACACGCATATACGCACACACCACTGGCTGAACACCTGCTTGTTGTGTTTGGTGTGCAGGCAATGTTTTGATAGTGAGGCCAGCAGTCGTTGTTTATCGACGTTGCTGAGTCGATGTTGTTCTTTGGAAGAGGTTTACAGTTACGGTTACATCACTTCACTAGAGTATTAGATTAACAATACATCACAACAAAACAAGACTCTGTAAGTGTGTGTGTGTGTGTGTGTGTGTGTGTGTGTGTGTGTGTGTGTGTGTGTGTGTGTGTTTCAGAGGTGAGGAACATGTTGATGTGCGGTTCTCTTGTAATCGCTCAATGATATTAATTATAAATCAAGCACTTGAAATGTATTGTTAACGTATGAATTCATGTGATCTCATTCGTACAATTTAGTATGATTTGCTCATCACCCAATCACGATTGGGTTTAGGGGTGGAGTTGGGTGCCACACCTCCTTTTTAAAATCTTACAATTTTGTACGACTGAACTCATACGAATTCATACTAATTAGCCACTAAACTGACAAAACGTAAAATACTTATATTTTCTTGTGATATCAGGCTGTTTATTATTAGTATAGTGTGAATTAGGGTTAAAACTTTGTATATATAATTAAAATTTTTGTATTCTAAATAAAAAGCCTGTAAAAACAGAATTTGAACTATTACATTTTAGTTGTGTCTTCAAAAAAAATCACACATTATTATTATTATTATTATTATTATTATTATTATTATTATTATTATTATTATTAATGCACCTAAAAAAACGCACACACTTTTGTCTTCACGTTGTTACATCACACTTCTCATAATTGATCAATCAATTTCGAATTAGTGTTAAAACTTTGTATATTTAATTTTACTTTTAATTTTGGTTAGTTTTGGATTTTTCCCCTAAATTTTTATTATACATTGATTTATTTGATAATTCATTTATGATGAATCTCATTTAATTTTTGGTATTTTTTAAAGTTTTAAGCTTAAGCTTTTTGTATTGTCCATTGTTCTTCATTTGTAAATGTCTGTATAGTTTTATTGTCTAAATTGTTGTTGTTGTTGTCATTATCATTCATTCATTATATTTTTTCGGCTTAGTCCCTGATTTATCAGTGGTTACTAGGGTTGCACGATACTGGAATTCGATACCAATCGATACTGAAATTTTAAAAATGTCCATTTCCCGCTACCATTTTGTCACCAGACGTCACTTTAAACACTTTGATGTCGCTGTATCTGTGGTTACACTCAGTAAACTGCGGTGGGTTCGGTGAACTGATGACCTTTCCGGCCAATCACAGTCGTTCCTGTTGAGTACGTGAACACAACGGCAAATCATTGTGGTTTAAAAATGTGCTCAGTAGCGATCAAATGTTAGCAGAAAATGGATGTTTTTGAAACTTTAGCATTGATTGGTGCCAATTTCAAGTATCGTGACACCCCTAGTGGCCACCACAGTGGAATGAACCGCCAACTACTCTGCCATATGTTTTACATAGCAGATGCCCATAAATTATTATTACTAACAACAACAACAATAGTTGGCACATTTAAAGCTAGTTACAGCATGGTCTGGCGCATTCTGGCTGCACCTCTTCCTTCTTAATTCTATCTGACTGGAAGTGAACACGCACACACTTGCATTTCGCTCACTGGCGCCATCTTGTGCAACTAGCCCATTTCCAACAAGCCTGTCAAATACTGATATCATAACCGATAAACCAATAAATCCCTTTAAAATATGTATTTTTAAATACATAAATATATATTTTTTTAAATATTAATTAAAAATATTTTTAACTTAAATCATCAGTTACTTGTTGCTTTTGGTCTTACTCAGTGTTCTGTGCTTAGTCCCGTAATTGCTGCTTGCAGTTATGTTACCTATATATTGAGTTTTATGCGTTTAAGAATGGTGACGTCTGATTCCTGACCTTATCTTTGTGTTTGTGTGCAGGAGGCCACACAGGCGAGCAGATGAGGATGAGGATGGTGAATGAGCTCTGATGGTTTGCTAAATATGGACGTCCCCAATGGCCAGCCCAGCGTCTCCACCCTCACGGCTCCGGCCTCAGAGGTACTGCATATACACTCATCAGTGTGTGGTTAGGCCTGTCACAATGATCAATATATTAACTGCAATACTTGGAGATGACCTCAATGATTTTTGCCATTGCAATATATACAGTGATTACTCGCTATAGTGCAGTTCATTTTTCTTGGCTTCGCTATTTCGCAGATTTTTTATTTATTTTTTTTTGGTGTGTAATTTGACATGCTTTTTTTTGTGTGTGTATTTGATATGCATTGTGTTTTGCATCCTGATTACCTGTAGACCAATGTCATTTAGTCTCCTCTGTGTCGTGTCTCTTGTAAAGTACAGAATGTGTTCAGCTTGACAAATTTAACTAAATCTTCGATCGCTAGCAGTACACTTTAAAGAAAATATTTTTTACTTGTTCAAACTACTTATTTTTAAATGAGCTAAAACAAAACAATTTTTGAGATTTCATTAGGACAGCTTAATTTTTATGTTCAATTCACATAAATGTGTTAAAAGTCTTTATTTAACTTAATCAATTTGTATTAAGGCAACATGAATGAATTGTGTGGAACCCTGCACTTTTTTTACAGTGTAGGGCTGTGCTGATAGACGGTAGTATGATAAAAATATCGCCAAGAGCTGAAACCTATGACGATTTTAAAGATGATATTTAGCTCGTTTCACATTAATGTAGACCTATTCCATGTTTTAATAAAATGAATAGCATTATTATTTTTAAACAGCATCATTAATAATAAATTAACTACAAATAATATGACAGCCATGGTTTCTGCTACATACATTCTTCCATGGCGGGGCGCCAAGCCAAAATTGATCTCGCCACGGCTACATTACAGCTTCTCATTCAAAACATTTTATTTTTAATACTGGGTAATAATCGCACCACAACGTATTAAAGATTAAGTTAATTAAAACAGCGCAAACTTTTCTGTAACCGTAGTAGTGCTGTGCGTCATTTGTTTAACCCTTTAAGGCTGACTGGCTGACAGGTGCGTGATGCGTGAGGCCAGCAAACACGACGTGTAGCTGTTTCACTTTACTTCGGGACGCTTTAATATCGCTCTGTAGATTTATTAGGGAGACATTCACAAATATTCCTAGCAAATCTAATAAATGCTGGAGCCATACTCGTTACATAATTGCACTAAATCGCACTTCAGCTGCGTTTATTCGAGAGCGCACAAGATCTGCGCGCTCTTGAAGCGGCTTATATTTGAGGAGGTGTTCAAGAAGTTTTGTGCACGAGCAGAGGAAATCGGCGCGTAAGCAAAGAGATCCGCATGCTGTAGGGCATAGATGTCAAACTCAGTTCCTGGAGGGCCGCAGCCCTGCACAGTTTAGTTCCCACCCTGCTCCAACACACTTACCTGTACGTTTCAAACAAGCCTGAAGGACTCAATTAGTTTGATCAGGTGTGTTTAATTAGGGTTGGAACTAAACTGTTCAGGGCTGCGGCCCTCCAGGAATTGAGTTTGACATCCCTGCTGTAGGGTATTACATAAATGCAATCTCTACTTCTAATTCTGCGCTCACGACATTTGTCATTGAAATAAAGCCACAAGTAGATCTGTTTAAAAAAAAAAAAAAAAAGGCCTGCCGCCACAGCTGGAAAATATCCTAGAAGAAACACTGACAGCTTTAGCTGTTTACATTAGCATCACCTGACTGACACTTTCAGACAAAAACGAATTTTTTTGATTGCTCTCTTGCGCTCTCTCTCTCGCTCTGTCTCAGCAGCAGCAGTTGAAGCGTGAGCTGCACGTGAGGGCACAGCCACATCTCATAGCAGAGTAGTTTGCAACTTTGTTGCATAAAAATGATAGGCTGAATAATTAAACTGGATTTAATTAACAAACAAGTTAAATGAAAACGATTTGTAAAAATGAAACAAATAAAAAAAATAAATAAAGAAATCTGAAACCAGCTTAAATGTTCCAGGATAAAAAATTTTGCTGTTGTTGATCATTTGAGACTCCTTTATAACAGCACTCCCGCAAGATTCTCTCTTGCTTTCACAAAAAAGCTATTTATATTTTATTCCATTATTAATAGGCTATTTAAGTTTTAAGGGAGGCTATAGCCTATTTTTCAGTGCATGCATTTACTGCTCCTTCAAATACATGGAATATACATACTTGTCTTATTTGTGTTTAATTGGATAAAATGATAAACACAGACATGCACAAAAATAATGATTTCAAAATTACAATAGTATCGCATATCGGAACAGTTTCTGTGACAATATATCACACAACAAAAATTTGTGGCAGGACTGCGTGTGGTTTACAGTGTTTTCAGACGACTAACTGTGTCTTTGCTCATTATCTCTGTCCAGAGGAGCAGCAGCTCTGAGTCTCTCAGTGAGAAGGGAACATCGGAGCTCAAGAGTTTTGACGCTGTGGTTTTCGACGTGCTGAAGGTCACGCCAGAGGAATATGCAGTAAGTTCAGCTTTAGTCTGTTCTGGAAGCCTTTTGTGTTTGTCTGATTTATACCTCTATGTCAAGCACACTCGTATGCTCCGACACAGCCTATGCTTGGTCGCATAGCCTTTGCCTTGGCTGTCGGTGACGCTCATGCGCACCTCTCAAAAAATGTAACTACACATCTGAACAACGCATACCTCAAGCACTGTGATTGGTCTGCTTGGTAGCGTGGACGAGTGTGTGTAGGACCGAGAGTGGCGCGAGCCTAATGGAGTGAGTGTTTGCAAGTGTGGAGTCCCGTGAAGGAGATCCAGATGGAAAGTCTTTCTTTGTGTGTACCTGATGATTAAAAGTGTTGCACGTCTGCCGGTTCCCGCTTTAAAATGATCGAGGTTAAGCTACTTGTACATTAAGGTAGGGTTCAGAAAAAAACAAAACATTAGCGAGGAAACTCGACACAAAGAAACATAAACACCTCACTGCCAGCTAGCGTTTCGGAAGTGTTATTGTAGAGCTGCACAAACAGCATGCAGAAGCATAAATGCACGGCAACGTGCAAGGTATGTGCCATGGGTCACGCCGATCACTTTACTCACAAGTAGAAACCAGGCTTAGGCTGAATAGTTAAAAATTTTAAACATACTGGTTTTGAAAATAATTAAACTTTCTGATGAATTTTTTTTTCTTCTTAAAAAATGTAATTCATCCAATTGTTTGTCACTAAAGATGAAGTTTTAAGGTCTTCCAATTCAATTTAACATGGCTATAAAATGTAATAATGTTATTTTAAACTATAATAATAATTATATATAATAATTTGAACAATTTGTTTATAAAATTCATATTTTCAGTACAAAAAATTATATTTATTTATAACCCTCATTTTTGTTTAAATACAGTGGTTATTATTATTATTATTATTATTATTATTATTAATAGTAATAATAATATTACTGCTATATTTTTATTCATTCTTTCATTCATTCATTTTCTTTTTGGCTTAGTCCCTTTATTAATCCGGGGTCGCCACAGCGGAATGAATCGCTAACTTATCCAGCACGTTTTAACACAGCGGATGCCATTCCAGCCGCAGCCCATCTCTGGGAAAGCTATTTTATTATTATTATCATTATTATTATTATTGGTCCCACTTTATATTAAGTGTCCCTATGTACTTACATCAAAAATAAATACAATGTACTTACTGTGTTTATAATGTATTTGAGAACACTTGTGGTGCTTTTGAGTTGGGATAGAGGTTGGGTTATGGACTGGTTTGGTGGCATGGGTAGGTTTAAGGGTGGGTTAAGGTGTAAGGGATGGTCAACAGTGTATTTACAAATGTAATTACAAAAGTTAATTACAGATGTAATTACAAACATGTATTTAATCAAGCATAAGTACATAGAAAAAACATGTATTTACACAATAAGTACATTGTAACAAACTAATAGTTCCTATGTAATTACATATTAGTTAAGGCCACTTAATATAAAGTGGGACCCTATTATTATTATTATTATTATTATTATTATTATTATTATTATTATTATTATTATTTGTTGTTGTTGTTGTTTTGCATTTAGAATTTAGAATTTAGAATATGAAATAATTCTAATAATAGTTTCCTTCATAAGAATATTTATATAATCATATGCTTTTTTTAAGCAAATACTTTTTAGTTTACATTAAAGTATTATTGCAATACTAATTCTTATTTTGTATTTTGCATAGCAATAATAGCATATTGTTAACAATATTTTCTAGTTGTTTATTATTTGTTATGTGAAAGTATTTTTAGCATAATACAGTAGAAATATAGCAAAAATAAACAAATTTTGTACCTTTAAAATACTAGGGATGTCCTGATCAGGTTTTTTTGCCCTTAAGTCCGAGTCATTTGATTTTGAGTATTTATAGATACCGAAACCCGATCCGATACTTTTATGATATATATAAAATTAGAATAAAGAAGAACGAAGAAACAGATCCAGGATGTTCCTTATTTTTATTCAATTCACCTTATTTTAACAGTCAACAGCTTCGTTAACGAACAAACAGAGCTATTCTGTGGGGTAGCTTGAACAATCAAGTAATAAATAACATCAATTCTTCGCTTTTGGGCCTCAACTTAAAATGCTCTGCAGGCAATCCCAAGTTTACATATCTCACGGTTTGTTGTGGCAATGTTGTGATCATAAACTTTATAATTCCTTTAGGTTTCAGACAGCCTCGCACTTTCTGCTTCAAGCTGCTTCCGTGTTCGACTTTGCTGGCAATTAACCAATAGCATCCCTGCAAGTGATGTCATGCCGCACGTGTTGCTGTTTTTTGTGTGAAGTCAAGAAAGAGGTCTAACTCTGTGCCTCCACATGAGTATTGATGTGTTAAAAATATTGAGAATATATACAATATACGTTTATATTCTAGTCTTGATAGGGAGGTAACGTCCAATTCTGATCGGGCCTGATTTCGGATCACGTGATCGGATCTGGACATCCTTAATAAATACATTTTAATTCAATAAAATGTGTGTGTGTGAGCGAGCATGTATGTATATAAACTCAGGGCTCAACAATAAGGACTGCCCGATGACCCGGGGTCAGCGTGAGTGATGCTCGAGACAGTAGACAGAATTGTTACTGGCCCGATCGGGGCAGTGCTGCCTTGTCACTAAATTTTAACAGACGGCAATATGACCGCAACATCAAATTCTGAGGCTAAAAGAAAACATCTGTTTCTAACGTTGTGGAAACATTTAAATGGGTAAAATACGACAAATAAATTAAGTGATGTTTTGCATAGTTTGCCGTCAGTTTTAAGTCACCCACCTTTTGTTTTGCAATAAATTACCTGCACATTTTCCAAACTGCTTTATTTTACTGCTAAATATTTTAACTTTTTTCAAATATTTAAATTCTGCATTCACAGACATTATTTTCATTCATTCATTTTGTTTTTCGGCTTCGTCGCTTTATTAATTTGGGATCGCCACAGTGGAATGAAACGCCAGACATTATTTTGTGGCACATTATTTAATATATGTGGCTAATAAATAGTAAATAATAAATTTATAATAGTAAATAGTAAATAACAAATTTATTTCTTTGGTGGGGCCAGTAAAAATTTTGGCAGGGCAAGTAAAA